CATTTTACTTATTCAATTGCTGCTGAATTGTTGTGGTTGTCGGCCATTATTCTTATTCAATTGTTACCGTATCGTTAACATCGTCGGCCATTATGCTTTTTTAATTGTTACATTATTGTTGTCATTGTCGGCCATTATGATTTTTCAATTATTGCTGGTGTCAGCCATCTCAATTGTTTAATATGAATTAATTACTGTTACCGTTAATAGTCAGAAAAATAGTTCCTTTGAATGTGTTGTTGGAAAAATATTCAACGCTCTATTTTTATGTACTTTTATCATTCGCATTTTCTTTTTTCATGACAGTTTTTCAACGGACGAATTTTCTAAATGCAGGACTTGCTGCTCGCTTTAACCGAATATATTTACAGACAGTACGTATATTATCGAGTCACAGAAATTCCTTTGTTTCTATATTTCAACTTTACATGTACATTGCCACGTGAAGTAGAATGTCGCGAAACATTTTCCATCCCTATGAAACAGTCGATTTCAAATAATTCCCCGTTTTTCCTTGAACTCATTTCCAACGTGCTCATGTTTACACAGAACATCATTCCTGTATTACATCACTTCGTTGTCAGTTGGCTTAGGAATATTACTGAGTTTCTCAGAAAAAAAAAAACTGAAACACACATACACACTTATCAAATATTCTGTCTACCTAATCTATTTATCCTGAATCAAACATATTCAGATATTTAAAAAAATCCTTGAGTTATCTGCCACGGCTACTCCAGTCGTGGGGCAACGGGATGAATTAATTTACATCTGGAAACTGGACTGTAATTCTTTTATTTGTATTGTTCTTTCCGATACTTAGGGGCTAATGTCTCCCCGAGATCCACGACCGTAACAGTATACACATTTTTATTGAGATTAATCCCTACTCCAACTTCTAATCCTAATTCTAACGTATGTCTAATTTCTACTGAAGCACTGCTTATGATACTTGTATCGTTGATAAGCAATATTAATCTTGTTGCATCCGATTTGGCGTTTGTTGTAAGACCACCTTTGTTGTTCTTTTATAAATCAGGTTTTTCTTTAATAAAACCTTCCTTTGTTAGGTATTTGTTTAGCTCTGAATCCTTATCAACTTTGAGAGTTTTTCTAGACCAATAGGAGTATTTGCACTATCCCGTTTGCTAAGAATATTGAGTAAGATTAATTCTTTTCTTTTTTCTGTTTGAAGTGGCTAAGATATGGTTTCTATGGCCTTCTATTGTATTTTTCCAAGTTCAGCAACAAACAATTCCTCTGCATTTGAAAAGAGGTCAGGGTTGTAACTAATTCTATTGATGTAAAACCAACATCAATGTTTTTGAAGATCCTCGTCATCATAAAGTCGTCAGTCCTAAGACTGGTTTGACACGCACCTCCACTGTTTCCTATCCTGAGCTAAATTTCGCATTTCCCTAAAGCTAGAAAAAAAAAACTTTTGGGTGTTTCATTCCCACCAGCCAGTAATGCTGGTGGGCGGGCAGTTCCTCCGGACTATGCCGGAAGGTAGGGCGGAAGGCCCTCTTCAGCCTGCTTTCAGGAATCGTGGGAATGGGTGGGTGGTGGTTCGAGTGAGAAAGATGAGACGGACGAAATGAAGACAGAGGAGAGTGAAAGATTATCTGTGGAATATTACTGCCTCAGCATTTGCCTAAGTGATCCAAGGAAACCACAGAAAAACTTGGACCAAGGCAGACAGACTCGGAATCGAACCGGCGTCCTCCCGAATGCTAAACAATGGTCTTGACCTCTAGGCCATGCCGCTCGGTCCTAAAGCTAGAGCAACCCATATCTTTAACTATTTGCGAACATCAATCTAATGTAGGTCTACCTCTACTCGTCCTAACTTCCGTATCTGCCTCTAATATGTCTCTGACTAGACCTTCATGCCTGAGAAGGTGTCTTACTAACTTATCTCATCTATTTCTTATTGACTTCCATAAAGTCCTCTGCTCTCTTACTCTTTCTAATACCTTTTGATTTCTAACCTTCTTATCGTCGTATTTCTCTAAAACTGGAACAACCCAGATCCTTAATTATTTGTGAACAGTCATCTAATCTAGGCCTCCCTCTACTCCTCTTAGCTCCTATATCTGCTTCTAATATATCCCTGACTAGATCTTCATGCCTGAGAAGGTGTCCCACCAACCTATCTCGCCTATTTCTTATTGATTTCAAGAGAGTCCTCTGTTCTCCTACTTTTTTCTAATACCTCCTCGACCCTGTCATATCCTCTGGTTTATTGTCTGTACTGCCCCTTCCACATCTGAGTTCCTAGGTACCGAAAACAGCCACATTCTCTAATTTTTCGTCTCCTACCTTTTTATCATTCTTTCCCTACTCTTTCTTCTCTTGTACTTTAGTGCTTTCGTTTTAGATACTCTTATTTATATTCATACAAAACTGTTTTATTAATACCGCTTCCATTTTATTTAAGACTATCTCTAACTCCTCTTTGCTAGATGCTAATACTGCTACAATCCTATTTTGATTTTGATCTTTTACACATTGGAAAAAGGAAAAGAAATGGAATCAATAGTTTCTGTAGCTTTAATTAAGTTTATCCAATAAGTAAAGTTTTTCAAGTTAATTATTACTGTTAGCACACCACCACTAATTCGATATTGTTTTCCGAACTGTTTCGTTTTGGCTCAAGGAATTTTATAATTTCCAACGATTCGCCATTCCTTTCCGAAGGTATTTTCAATGGGAAATGGCAGGTGTTGAGTAGTGACTGTGACTTATCAAACAGGACCTTTAGAACTGCGAAACTCCTTGTACCACAGTAAAATAGGCCGGAAAACAAAATTCAATCCACAATGTTTTGGATTGTCCATTTCCAAGGAGTCCGGAATCAACAGAATACGTAAGTGTATTTAATTCATTTTAAGCTTTTACTACCTTCACTGTCCAACGTTAACAATTTTCGTTCATTTTATATAACGTTTGATGTAAGCCAAAAAAAAGTATTTTGCATTTCGCAAACAGAAAATATGTCTACAAACTATTTTAAATAAAATGCAAAATGGTTTTCTCAAAAAAGTATTCAAATGTGAAATAAAAATTTATATTTCGAATTTTGTATTTGCATTTTAAATGCAAGTATTTTAAATTAACCACGTCTCCGTAAATATAGTAATAAAGTGTTTATTTTACGTTAATTTTATACACCTTGCTCATAAAACAAATGCAATCCAACATTAAATACCTAATTTAAGTTAGATTAGATTTAATAATCAGTTACGTCATAATTCTACTTCGAAATGGAAAACAACAAATTTAATATTCTTTTTATTTGAATATATTATTGTTATATTAATTTTCAATAAGTGCACCTCACACGTACATATATGTATATTTGTATATTTATGGACTATAACCTGACTTATGTCGTAGGAGCATAATATAGGTTCAATTGTAGAGACGCACCGGATAGTAATTTTGGGAAGTACCGGATAACCGTGTACCCAGCATTAGCTGTGACGGGCTCTTCATAAAATACCACCCTTACGAACGTCCCAAACCACATTAACTCAAACGTTGTTTAAACACTAAACCAATGAAATTTTAACTCCTGGTTTACGGATTTTCAACGAGAAGGTCGAGTTGAAACAGTTGAAGCGAGGCCTGTAATGTTTATAAACACTAAAAGTCTTCAAAAAGACAAAATCGTACTGATAAGTTACTGTTAATCAAACCCTGATATTCCAACAAGTGACAAGGGAACAACAAAAAGTCACAGGGGGCCAGATCTGGGGAATACGGTGGCTGCTGCATTGTTAGTGTGTTGCTTTTGGCCAAACATTTGCGCACAAGCAACCATGTGTGAGCAAGGGCGTTATCATTGTTCAAAAGTCAATTTCTGTTCTTCCACAAATCCGGGCGTTTCTGCCAGATTGCTTCACGCAAATTGCACATAACCTGCAGGTAATATTTCTTATTGACCGTTCTACCCTGTGGCAAATACTCATGATACACCACGCCCTCGCAATCGAAGAAAACTGTAAGCAAATCTTTCATATTCGCCCTAACTTGGCGCGCTCTTTTCGGTCTTGGCTCGTGCGGCAGCTTCTATTGGGATGATTGAGCTTTAGTTTCCACGTCATAACCATAAACCCATGACTCGTTACCATTTATGACCCTCTGGAGCAAATTTGGGTCGTCGAGGACAGCTCCTTAGCAATGTTAATGCGATGATGTTTTTGGTCGAAACTGAGCAATTTTGGTACGAATTTCGCGGCGACCTGTCTCATGTCCAAATCATTGGTAAAAATCGAATAGCAGAAGCCAATCGATATGTTTAGGCCCTCAGAAGCTTCTCTAACGCTGATTCCACGATTGACCAATACTTTTTACTTCATTTCGTCAATGTTTTCGTCTGTTGTTGACGTACTCGAGCATCCGGTACGCTCTTCGTTGTTCACATCATCTGGGCCATCTGAGAACAATTTGTACCACCCATAAACCCTGCTTCGGTCCGAGGTAGCTTCAGCATATGCCACACTCAACATTGGGAATGTGTCCGCACACTTAATTTTGTTTTTCACACAAAATTTGATACAGATTCTATGATCCATTTTTTGCAATAGGCAAAAATCGAAGACGAACTAAAACACGTGCAAGCTGTCAAAAATTAACTTAAATTCGCGATATTTTTTGGACAGACCTTGTATTCTTAATCATGAGAAAAATCAAACAGAGATAATAAAAAAATTAGGACAAACGTAACCTTTCTCAACTCAATTTTAATTACCAATTTTCATCCACTAGGTTTTTTATTATACTTATTAAATTATTATTGCTGGTGTTTCTAATTTTCTTTTTTCTAGTAGTAGTAATAGTAGAATAACCCTACACTGCCGAGTACCCGGCGTCATTATCGGGTGTCAGACCGTATCCTGAAAATGTGTCGGATCCGCCGAGTGCTCGGCCCATCTCTATTCAATTGTTTATCGCTGTTGTTGAATACAATTTCATTGTGTTACGTTTTGGTGAGTAAACCTGGTAAATTGGGGACATTGAAACGCACTGATTATATTCACGGCCACCAAATGCGTGCCAATATGCCAAGTGGTTAGACCGGAATCCCTCTTCAGTCGCTTCGAAACTAAAAACAACGAAGACAAACTCATCTAGTCAATGACCGCTTCAATTCAAACTGACGTGATCCCTTGAAAAACGTTGTCCGGCTTTAAAACAATGTAATAAGGTAGAATTATATTATTATATAAACAGAAATCGACCATATTATCGAACAGTCACTCAACTAAACTAAGCGACTGATAGTGTTATCGTGCAGTTGTTCCGTACACAAGAAAATGATTTTCACGCTTTCCAATGGACTGCTGGACATTTTCCTCGATGAGGTGAGTGAGAAAATGCTATCGTATGAAAATTACAACATTTAACTTAACACAACATCTTTGAACAAAAGTAATTACTTTTATAATACTCAAACGCAATTAGCAATACTATAAAAACTATAATTAAAAAGGTCGTTAATAGTTAATAAATATTAGTAATTTCTAAAATTGTATTTTCATTTACATACACAATACAATGTAAATGATATATGTATCTAATGTATTATACAGCAACTTTTTGCGTCATAGTACATAACTACGATAGAATTTTACAACCCCCGGAAACAGTGAAGTAAAGTTGGCGTATCAGTAAATTCACCCTGCAATTTTATGACAGTTTGTACGCAATCATCAGAGAGTTACCTACCATGATCTCTTCCAATGTATTAACGCCAAAATTGGACTTTTTGTTAATAGAAAATCTGTTTTTAATATTATCAAAGGTTATCTGCAATACCTTGAATTTTCACCATAGTTTTCTTCTAAAGTTTAGGTAAATCTCTAGAAACTCATTCATAATTTTCTATGACTAAAGGAGATACACATTCTTGGAATGTTTCAGCATTTAAAATAAATAAACGATTATATTTTTAAACTCCTTATAATAAATTCCTCAAAAATTGTCACATCATCATCATCATATAACTATAATTTATTGCATCATTTCCCAATGGATAGCACAGGTTGTTGTTTACGAGGAAAATTATTTAAAATTCTTGTAATTAGCATACAATACCGGATTTATTCTAATGCCCAATACTAATATTAATAAAATTAACTCGCATTGATTCCAATATAAAACACAAACCTAATTTTATAATTATTTTATTATAAAATACAGTAATTTTAGTGAATATTTTTGCATATACTATTATGTCCTCATACTAAATCTTATCTAATCAAATGATGCACCATGTAAGTAAAATTGTAAGTACTAAACTGCTATTATCGGGCATAATAGATAATAGGTATAAATAATTAATATAGAGATCAAAGTTTGCTGCAGACAAAAAGATGAGAATGAAAACAAATCTAAGTAGGCTTAAAAAATAAACAATGATTTCATTGTTTCAATTTTGTGATATGAATTTAACCGCTGTATCAGCCTTGAAGAATTGTATGATTTTTCTACCATTAAAAACCGCGGAACGTTACGTAAGACGTGCTCCGTATACCGTATTAATAACCTAAAAATCGCAATTATACAGGATGATTTATGATTTATAGTCAATCAAAAGCAGTCTGGAAATTCCTATAAAAAAACTCCTTCACAACATAAAAGAATATTTCGTCAAGTGAATATGAGTGAGAACAATCAGACAACAAATCACATCCTATATCCAACATTCTCAGAAAAGATTCGAATGATTTTGAACAAGGGCGGAGTCTAAATTATAAAACTAATTGTTCTTTTCTGTGATTGTAATGTCGAGTAACTACCTAAATGTAAAGTTACATTTACCTATTTATATTTCCATTTGCAGTTCGTTAAAAATCGAATTGAAACTATCTGAAACTATCGGATAATCCGTAACCGTATCTGAAACCGGTATAATAATATCACTCATATCCGTATCCATATCTAGATCCGAAATTTCATATCCCTAACATACCTGGAAGAAATGTTTCAGCCAAAACTAAAAACATGAAAATACGAAATTTTGTGGTATACTATAACGTAGAAATAACTCTCTGTTTGGAGACAAGGTCAAAGAATAATAAATTAAAGTGATACATAGATATGTAATAAATAATTCACAAACCAATGCCTGCTTTAGATTTTTGATTCATAAACATGCATTCTATTGCAACGCAATAATAATTAGAAACTTGACCTTATGTGTTGCATAATAACCATGCACTATGAACGACCTAACTTTATTATAATGACATTTACATAGTGTTTGTCGTTGTTTTATGTCACTATTTTCGAAAATGCCTAGGCCGAACTGAAAGCAGCGATTCATTAGTAAGTAGGTCTCAAATACATACGAGTTAAAGATCATCGACTACCACATGAAACTAATTCGTCTATCTCTCAGGAACAGTATTTTTTTCTGGATACGATACCGTGTGTCCTTTTCTGTACTGTTGACATGTGTATACAAAATTTCATGAAAGGTTTTACTCGCGGCTTTGCTCCCATTGGTGTCCTAAACACGTGTCTAAAATCATCGACGACCACATACAACTAATTTTTCTATCCCTAGGGAATAGTATTTGGGTAAAGGTCTAGATGATGGGTGGGGGGATCGAAAGAAGAGGTCTCCCCCATCACTGTACCATAAAAAGTTCGCGGCGGTCTCACCCCCATAAAAAGTTATGAAGGTTCAAAGTTAATAAATATGCCAAGTTTTATACATTTCTAGGCATGTAAATATTTATATAGTCATTCTTAAACAATATTCAAAGGTAAAACTAATGAAAAATATTGATAAAGTTATATAAAACATTATTTAAATATCTGTATCAATAGGGTAGGTTAGGTTAGGTTAGGTTAGGTTATCGGGTTTTGTTCAAGTGACCACCCTCTTTCGATCCCCCACCTCCACCCGCTTGAAAATATTTTTTTATTGAATTTTATTTGAATTATAGTGTATGAAAATTGTCAAAATAATCAACTTTCAACCCCCATAACTTTTTATGGGGGTGAGACCGCCGCAAA